AGATCTAACAGTTTTAACACTTTTTCTAAACTGATTCTTAACTTTTAAAATAAAATTCTGTAAAAGATCTCTAGTTTGACCTTTATTGTGCATAAAAAAAGCCTAAGTATGCCTATTGTAGTCATCAACTATAGAAAGAAAGTATTTATGCCCATGAATAGAAGGAATAGAGATAGGTCCCCATATATCACAGTGTATTAATTCAAAACAGCCAGCAGATACAGTGGTGCTTTGGGAAAAAGGAAGTCTATGTTGTTTTGCATAATGGCAAATATCACAAACAATTTTAGATGACATTTGAACATAAGGAAAACTTTAACATATTTGTTCTATGATTTTGTGACCAGGATGGCCCAATCTATAATGCCAAAGATCATCATTAACATGTTTACATGAAAGAACAAACTTAGGAACATAATTCTGACTAAAACTAGGAAAAGATTGCAAATAGTAAAGGCCTTTGTAAACATTAGCATGCCCAATCATCTTCAAGGTAGAATTGTCCTAAATCTGACAAGTCTTAGAAGAAAAGGTTAGAGTGCAATTTAAGTCCCTTTTTAGACTTTGAACAAATATAAGATTAAAAGAAAATTCTGGAATGTAGAGAAAATTGAAAATGATGAAATTTTTTGAAAATTAAATGGTTTCAGCATGTTGGGCTATAACCACATAATTATTAGGAAGTCTTAAAGATATGGATTTAATTTTATGAAATGTAATAAAGTGTGTTCTTTCATGGGTCACATGATCAGTGACCCTAGTGTCAATGATCCAAGAGAAATTACCTTGGCTGTCTCCAGGTGTTTCTCTGCACTTGACTAATATTGTGTGAAGGGTTATCAATGCCCTTTATCATTTTTAACAATTTATGCATCTCTTCAGGAGTGAAAATTTGCTTAGAATTACTACTATTTTCCAATTGAGCATTTTGTGTCTGGGTAGAGGTAAAATCATCTTTGCAAGCATTAGCATAACCCCATTCATTCTGGCCTCCTCTGTCCTGACTGGTTTGGTGGTCATTTTTCTTATACCATGGTGGGTAGCCATGTTTAGAGTAACACTCATAAACTGTATGATTCATCTTGTGACAATGGGAACATTGTTTCCCATAATTTGGATTTCTCCCTCTTCCTCTTCCTTGGCCATGGGAGGCAGTGCCATGACCTTGAGATTTCCAATTAGGTTTGTTAGAGGTGCTAGCCAAAATTTTGAAAAAGTCATTCTGACTGATACCTCCAGGATATTGTCTTTCTTGCCTTTCTTGCTGCATAAGGAGAGAAAAGACCCTATTGATGTTGGGAAGGGACTCCATCAAAAGAATTTGAGTCCTAATAGTTTGATAGGTGTCATTTAATCCTTTTAGGAAGCAAATAACATGTTCAACCTCTCTGTATTTTAGAGAGACTCTAGACAAATCACAAGTAAAGGGGTTTTGACATGTGCAACAAGTGATTCTAATTCTTCCAAAAGAATCTTTAAATCAATGAAGTATTTGCTGACATTTCTTTCTCCCTCCTTAATAGAATGGATATCTTGTAATAAATTTGAAATCTTGAAGTTGTCTCCTTTAGAGAATCTTTCTTTAAGTGCTTCCCACAAATCTTTGGCATTGTCAACATAGATAACACTTTCTGCAATCTGGGGTGAAAGGGTCTTGATGATCCAGGACAAAACCATTGTATCACATCTCTCCCAAGCCTCAAATAAAGGGTCAATTCTTGGTGGCTTTTTGATACTGCCATCAATG